CGGGCCGCTCGCCCCGGCTAGCAAAGAGGCAGAGGGCGAGTTAGAGGGGCAGCAACGTATGGGGGTGAGCTGAGCCCAGCCCCACAGACAGCCCCCAGCACCTGCTCCGAGACCCAGGGGGATGCTCCAAAGGGTCCCAGCCTGGATGGGATGCGTGATGGGGACACGGGCCAGGCAGATCCAGGAGCAACCCCTCGCCCCCGCCTTGGCTGGGATCAGCCTTGCTAAGCCCCCCTTTCCTCCTCTCCATCTTTCATTTCTCTTCCCCAAGGCTGGGGTTTTCCTATGGCATCTCCAGCTCCAGTGGGAATAAACAGTCCCCAGCAGTGATGCTGTGGTGCGAGGTGGCTGGTGATGGGCTCAGTAGTGCGGGGCATAAGGGCTGCAGAGGGTGGGATTTGGGATGCTGTGGGAGATGCAGCCATGGCCTGGGGGTTCCTGTGCATAGCCCGGGCTCCTTCCCAGCACGGCGGCTCATCCAGCCTGCCCGTGCTCCGAGGCATTGCACCCTCCTCCCTGGGTGCCTGCACCCCTTCGTGCCCCATCGGTGTGGGCTATACTGGCACCCACTGGCCCTTTCCCCTGGGGCTGGCCCAGCCCTTACTCATCCTGCCACCGAAGAGGAGCTGGAAGACGTCCTCCCAGCTGTCCCGGTTCATGAAGGCGTAGTGGTTGAACACAGCCGAGGGGGAGGACTTCTCGCAGTCGGCCTGCGTGGGCTGGTGGGCGAAGTCGTAGGACCAGTAGTACTTGTCTAGGAGAGGATGTGCAGGGCATTAGAGGGGGACACGCATTCTGGGGGAGCAGTAGCTAGAGGGGTGTCCTGCCCACGGTTGCCTGTGCCAGGCTCTGCCCCAGAGTGGGGTCTGCGCCCCTTACCCTTGAAGAAATAGACTCTCTCATTGCCGTGGTAGCTGTGCGCAGGGAGGGCGAAGGCCGCGTCGATGTTGTTCGGGATGCCTTCAAAGCCCTCGGAGATGTCGCGTGGGTACCCGGGGTCGAGGGCTCCATCGTCAAAGCGCCAGTACTGGCTGCCCTGGGGGGTGTGGGACAGAGAGGGGGTCAGGGGTTGGGCGCAGCATCCCCCAGGTGTGGGTCTGCCGAGGGGAGTGAGTGGATGCTGGGCAGCCCCGTGGTGAGGCTGTGGCC